AAAACCTGTTTGTTCTTGGTTTTGAGTATACTATAATATTCCAGCTTATGTCCATTTAAATACATAGGCAAATTGGGGAGGGGTTACAGTTTGCATAATCAGAGTTTCTTTAATTGTTTTACATTAACTATCTATAGAAGGAAGGAAGTCTGGGCAATCTACGTCAGTAAAGATTTACTGCTTCGGAAACCCAAAGGGGGTTGCTGTGAGCCAAAATTGACTTGATGGCAGTGACTTCGGTTTCTGGTTTACTGGGAAGTTAAAGCTCTGCTGGCGCAGTGCCTAAGGCATCTGACTGCTAACCAAAAGACTGACGGTTCAAACCCATCAGCCACTCCACAGAAGGAAGACGGGCCATCTACATCCTAAAGATTTACCACCTGCAAAACCCAATGAGGATTGCTATGCATCAGAATCCACTCAACTGCAGAAGGTTTGGTTTGGTATTAGGAAGTTAAGGAGCTCTGGTGGCGTAGTAGATAAGGCATTTGGTTGCTAACCAGATGGTCAGCGGTTCAAACTCACTAGATGCTCTACAGAAGGAAAATGTGGCAATCTACTTCCATAAAGGTTCACAGCCTTAGAAACCCAACAAAGGTCACTATGAGTCTGAATCAACTTGACAGCAGTGAGTGTGGTTTTTTTATTAGGAAGTTATTATCAGGACTACAAAGAAAGTATTTGGAATTGTAATGAAGATAAAGCCCATATGAAATAAGTTAATGAAAATTACTCCACTCATAGAGTTTACTCACATTATTTTTTGGAGCACATTCAATATGCAGTTGTTGGTAAATAAGTTAATACATTACAAAGACTAGGGGTATATTTAGAAATAGCAAATTGTTATAGTATATTAATAATATACTTCTCCCCTTCACCCAATTTAAATAAGAATGTTTATATACTTTTAAAAGAAACCTATCTATAGACAATAAATCATGGGCTATACTTTAAATGTTAAATTGCTTCCCAAGCTGACTGATAAGAGCTGACTTAAAGACAGACTTAGGAAAAGGACAAGAAGCTCAAGTAAATTTAACAGGAAAGACCAAGGTATGTAAGTAAGTTTTCAAAAACCTCAAGCTAAGGGAGGAAATGGCTATCTAGGAGTCTGCAGAAGTAATCATTCCAAAAAGCTGCTTTCCAGACACATTCACGTTAGAATGGAACTATACAATGAGGCAGAAGAATCCAGATGCAATCAAAGTTAAGTAAATAAGAATTATTATGTCAGAGGGTACGCAGTCATATGATCTGAATTACCAACCAATATGGTTGATGAGTCTCCTCAATATATTTTTCTTAGAAATCAGTCTTTTGTTGAAGCACTGACCAAGGAGAATCAGGGGAAAAAAAAGAAAAAACAAACAAACAAACAAACAAACAAACATCTATTTAACAGCAAAAAGCTTTTCAGTTTTCTCACAACAAAATGAAGGGTTTAGACCAGAAGATTTGTAAGATCCCTCTCCAAACATTAAGCTAAGATCCTATGATCAACAGGCATTTTAGACAATCAGAGATGAAAACTCAAATCCTAGACAAATATGAGCATGTAAAAGTACAACCAGAAAGGCCAAGCCTGAGAAAAACATATTTATGTGCTTTTATTATAGCCCTGGAGGCACAGTAGTTATGTGCTCAATGACTAACCAAAAGGTTGGCAGTTCAAAGCTAACAGCACTCCATGAGACAAAGATGTGGCAGTCTGCTTTCCTAATGATTTACAGCCTTAGAAATCCAATGGAGCAGTTCTACTCTGTTGGAATCGACTCCACAGCAACAGAATTGTAGTTAAGTTCACTTACTCCCAAACACCACATCACCTCTGAGATTATATTTCTCTTTCTTATGAACACAGATCTGAATAAGGACTGCATATGATATGAATATGATAAAAAACTCATACATATTGAATGAAGGTAAATCCGGTTGGTTACTGAGGTGAAATTCATGTAACACAAAATCAACCATTTTAAATTCAGTGGAATTTACATTCATAATGTTATGTACCTTTATCCAGGCACAAGACACTTTCATCACCCCGAAAGAAAACCCTATTCCCATTAAGCAATTGCTCCCCATTCTCCCCTTGTCCCGAACCCTGGCAACCAACAACTTGCATTCTCTCTCTCTTTTTAATTGTTAGATAACACACATTTATTTTTTAATTTTTTTTTTTTTAATTTAGAATATACAGTAAAAAGTGCAAGTCTCTACCCCTATACTCTTTCCTCTAAATCACATTGTGTATTGGAAGCTATACCCATATAAACACATTCATATTCATTCATTCATTCATTCATGTTCCCTTCTCTCTCTCAAAACGGGACCATATTATGCATGGCAATGTGAAAGTTTCAGCAATCACCTCTTGGTAACTATAGGTGAAGTTTCTTCTTAGGGATTTGGTCAAGTTCATTTCTAGGAATATTCAAAAAGAAGAGTAAAACTGATAGTTAACACTTGATCCAGCAGTTTTATGTGACTTCGCAGATATTTTTATTGTCATTAGTAAAGTATATTAACTTTATATAGAAGCAGATATACTGGAGTCCAAGTTAATAAGAATGATGGAGATGAGTTCAAGAAAAAGGAACCCAACCGCAGGGGAAAAAAACACAGCAATAGGACAGGTGGTGCTGTAATTTCTGTTACTGTGTAAATCTAGGTTAATTTCAAATAAAGCTGAACTAATGAAAATTAAGGAGCTCTGGTAGTGTAGTGCCTCAGGCACTTGACGGCTAACCAGAAGGCTGGCGGTTCAAACCCACCAGCCACTCCTTGGAAGGAAGATGGGGCAATATACTTCCGTAGTGATACTGCCTCGGAAACCCAAGGAGGGGTCGCTATGAGTTGGGTCTGACTCAACAGCATATAACAACAACAACAACAACAATGGAAATAAACAAGTTCTCATGCTATTTTACCTCTGAAATGTCCTCTATTCAAATTAGCCTCATTCATACCGAAGAGACAAATCTGGTAAATGTGAAGTCTGCAATAATCCAAAGATAACCATTTTCTTTTAGAGAACAGGACTTATTTTTAGGATTGTTGATCTCGAGATGTTATATAAGGTAACATGTGTTCTATTTCATTACATCCTTCAACAGATAGATTAGATTGGTATTTGGATTACACAATTCAAGACTGTTTGACAGGTATTATAAAATGTCAAAGAGCACAAACTCACTTTGCTTACTATGGCCCATCTCCTTGAATTTGTAAAATCACACACATGCATATATACCTCTATTTAAATCCCATTCTAAAATTCACGTATTTTTAAGTATAGAAAATAAGAATTAGATATATTTGAGTAGAAAGAAACAGTGACGTAACACTAAATCCTTAATATAAACCCAAATCTCCACTGCAAAATGAAAACATGTTTTTCTCTGGACTTACTATATAGCATCTAATAGTGTTTAAAATTACCTCATTAGTTTATTCATTCAAGTATTAACTGTACATGTATTATGGTCAAGACAGTCTAAAAACAGAAAATCTTTTTAAGATCAACCCTATCCCGTAAGAGTTGGACAGAAAGTTGGGAAAATCAGAGACATATACAAATTACCTAATATATAATGTAGCAAGTACATGTTGTTGTTATATGCCGTCGAGTCGGCCCTGACTCATAGCGACCCCTCCTTGGGTTTCCGAGGCAGTATCACTACGGAAGTAGGATTGCCCAACCTTCCTTCCGAGGAGTGGCTGGTGGGTTTGAACCGCCAGCCTTCTGGTTAGCAGTCAAGTGCCTTAGGCACTATGCTACCAGAGCTCCCATAGCAGTACATGTGGAAGCCAAGAATTTAAAACAACCAAACAAAAAACACAAAAACATACGGCTCTGAGAAGAAGCAATCTATTCTCTTCTTGACATAAGCACGAAGAGGTAACCAAGACCACC